GAATGAGTGGGTACTGGTAACACAGAGCCACATGCGGCATTCCCCCATGGAGTCAAGAATCGCTGGCATTACCTGATGCGCACTATCTCTGATATCGGACCCTCCTCCACCCACTGGAAGAAGCCATCAGGGTTGCTTTTATCCAAACACTAGTGAAAGGCCTTCACTTAACCCCAGCAGAAAGGTCACTACCACCGAGACAAGGAGGAATGGGAATGGCAAATCCAGAGGAGCTTGATGCCACCGAACATCAGAACTCAGTCAAGCTCACGGCAGCCCTAACTAAGCACATAACTCAGAATACAGTAATTCAGTTGGATACCACCGAATTAAACAAGATTCAACGGTCTATTACAACAGACCGGTAGCACACCCAGCAGCTGATGCAGCAATTGTCAGTGAACTTGAAAAAAAAAGTAGCTATAGCGCAGGAAGTGGGCGCCTCGAATTGGCTAATAACGTCACCGATAAGGGCAAAAGGCTTCAGCCTTAACAATCAAGAATTTACAGGTGCCATTGCTCTGAGGTACGGTAGGCCAGTAGAAGGTTTGCCCACCAAATGTGTGTGTGTTTCAACCCACGACATCGACCACGCCATGGTATGCAAGAAAGGGGGGCTTCTTATGCATGAGACAGGCGGAGTAAGGGATCTAACAGCAAATATTCTGAAGGAAATCTGTCAAGACGTCATGGTGGAACCGCCCCTCCTTTCATTGGACGGAGAGAACCTCCGTCACAAGACTTCCAACACATCCAAAGAAGTCCGTGTAAACGTCAGTGGTCGAGGATTCTGGGCGAGGAGACAGCGAGACTTTTTGGTGTCAGGATATTCGACCCCATGGCCGCATGTCACCATAACTTAGCTCTCGATGCTGCACACAGAACGACAACAACAGGACAAGTGGACAGAGAATTCACAATGTGGATCAAGTCATTTACCTCTGGTGTTCACAACCTCTGGTGGGATGGGATGCTTCTATGCAGAGGTGTTACCCAAACAGAAACAGAATCCCAGAAGTTATGTTACAGCCTGGTTGAGACGTCGACTGTCCTCCTCTCTCCTTGGGTCTGCATTGTTCTGCCTTAACTAACTCAACACAGCTAGGGTAGGCACTTTAGTATTAGGCGGCGGCAGGTGTGGCTACTGGTGGAGGCTGCAGGCCATAATTATGAAAACAAGTAATAGTCGTAGAAGTAGTAGTAATAGTAGTAGTAGTAGTAGTAGTAGTAATAATAATAATAGTAGTAGTAGTAGTAGTAGTAGTAGTATATCCACATTACCAAAAATAATACTATTATTCACTTACACCAATAAATGGGATTAAGATTAATTTGCATATGTAATTGTCAGGATTATAACCTCGAGATAATGAGTATTTACACCGGTTATTATCTCTCACGTTATCGACACCTGTTATTAACTCCTGGCGTCATTTACGACATTTTTTGCAAATTTATTTACACCATTAGTATCTCATTTTATTTACAACATTATTAACTTACAACATTATTTAAAACATTATTAACTTATAACATCACTGAACTAAACATTTATATAAACATCAACACAGTAAATTCTCACTTTTATTACGACGCATTAAAACAGTGAAACCTCCATATAGCGGACTTCTCCATAACGAACTTTTCTCTATATTTAATCCGTTAATGGGAGTTTTCACATCTATAGGTCCCTCGCTATAATGTTCTTTCATATATATATAGTCCGTTAGATCCTTCATATAACGGACTTTCTTCTATATTTAGTTCGTTAAATAAAGGTCTCAATGTATCATAATAGTGAACATTAAATAAACATGTTATTGGTTATTAAATTCTGAAAAAATAAAAAAATTCTCATTATGTGGAAAACAAACTGGCAGAATTTCTCATCAAATTCTTCAGAAGCAGTGATTTAATTCTTAGGAAATATATTTTAAGTTACGTTAGTTAGGTTAGGTTAGGTTAGGTTAGGTTAGGTTAGAGTAGGTTAGGTTAGGTTAGAATTAGGTTAGGTTGCTTGAGTTAGGTTAGAGTAGGTTAGGTTAGGTTAGGTTACGTTAGAGTTAGGTTAGGTTGTGAGTTAGGTTAGAGTAGGTTAGGTTAGGTTACGTTAGAGTTAGGTTAGGTTGCTGAGCCAGGTTAGAGTAGGTTAGGTTAGGTTACGTTAGAGTTAGGTTCGGTTAAGTTGAGTTAGGTTAGAGTAGGTTAGGTTACGTTAGAATTAGGTTAGGTTACGTTAGAATTAGGTTAGGTTACGTTAGAATTAGGTTAGGTTACGTTAGAATTAGGTTAGGTTAGAGTTAGAGTAGATCAGAGTTAGAGTTAGGATAGGTTAGGTTAGGTTAGGTTAGGTTAGATAATAAAATTCCAACAATATGAAAGAGCATTTAACCCCAAGAAGATGTAATAATTCAGGTTAGGTTAGGTTAGGTTAGGTTGTTCACGGGACGAAGAGTTCAGCAAGTTCTATTTGTTCATACACAACGCAGAACAGCCAACAAGTTATACCAAGCTTCAGAACTTCAGCTACAACAGGTAACATCACCATAACAGGTAACAAGACACCATAACAGGTAACAAGACACCATAACAGGTAACAAGACACCATAACAGGTAACAAGACCCCATAACAGGTAACAAGACACCATAACAGGTAACAAGACACCATGACAGGTAACAAAACACCATAACAGGTAACAAGACACCATAACAGGGAACAAGACACCATAACAGATAACAAGACACCATAACAGGTAACAAGACACTATAACAGGTAACATCATCATAACAGGTAACAAGACACCATAACAGGTAACAAGACACCACAACAGGTAACAAGACACTATAACAGGTAACAAGACCCCATAACAGGTAAAAAGACACCATAACAGGCAACAAGACACTATAACAGGTAACAAGACACTATAACAGGTAACAAGACACTATAACAGGTAACAAGACACTATAACAGGTAACAAGACACTATCAAAGGTAACAAGACACGTTAACAGATAACAAGGCACCATAACAGGTAACAAGACACTATAACAGGTAACAAAACACTATAACAGGTAACAAGACACCATAAGAAACAAGACACCATAACAGGTAACAAGGCACCTATAACAGGTAACAAGACACTATAACAAATAACAAGACACTATAACAGGTAACTAAAGACACCATGACAGGAAACAAAACACTATAACAGGTAACAAGACACTATAACAGGTAACAAAACACTATAACAGGTAAATAAGACACTATAAGAAATAAGATACCATAACAGGTAACAAGGCACTATAACAGGTAACAAGACACCATAACAAATAACAAGACACTATAACAGGTAACAAGACACTATGACAGGAAACAAAACACTATAACAGGCAACAAGACACCATAACAGGTAACAAGACACCATAACAAATAACAAGACACCATAACAGGTAACAAGATGCTATAACAGGTAACAAGACACTATAACAGGTAACATCACCATAACAGGTAACAAGACACCTAACAGGTAACAAAACACCATAACAGGTAACAACACACCATAACAGTTAACAAGACACCATAACAGGTAACATCACCATAACAGGTAACAAGACACTATAACAGGTAACAAGACACCATACCAGGTAACAAGACACCATAATAGGTAAAATCACCATAACAGATAACAAGACACTATAACAGGTAATAAGACACCATAACAGGTAACATCACCATAACATGTAACAACACACCATAACAGGTAACAAGACGCTATAACAGGTAACAAGACACTATAACAGGTAACAAGACACTAACAAGTAACAAGACACCATAACAGGTAACAACACGCCATAACAGGTAACATCACCATAACAGGTAACAAGACACCATAACAGGTAACAAGACACCATAACAGGTAACATCACCATAACAGGTAACAACACCATAACAGGTAACAAGACACCATAACAGGTAACAAGACAAGGTTAACAAGACACCATAACAGTAAATAAGACACCAAGGTTAACAAGACACCATAACAGGTAACAAGACCATAACAGGTAACAAGACACTATAAGTGGTCAAGACACCATAACAGGTAACACGACACCATAACAGGTAACACGACACCATAACAGGTCAAGACGCCATAACAGGTAACAAGACACTATAACAGGTAACAAGACGCTATAACAGGTACAAGACACCATAACAGGTAACATCACCATAACAGGTAACAAGACGCTATAACAGATAACAAGACACTATAACAGGTAATAAGACACTATAACAGGTAACTAAGACGCCATAACAGGTAACAAGACACCATAACAGATAACAAGACACCATAACATAAATAAGACACCATAACAGGTAACAAGACGCCATAACAGGTAACAACACACCATAAAAGATAACAAGACACTCATAACATGTAACAAGACACCATAACAGGTAACAAGACACCATAACATGACCATAATGACAGGTGGCCAACACATCCATACAGAATATCAACACAGTTAACAGTGGCGTCACCAGCACAGGTAAATATCTCATAACAGGTAACATCACCAAAACAGGGTAAATAAAAGACTTGCTAAATGAAAATAAATATAACCATGACAAAGTTAACAAACACACCATAACAGGTAACAAAGACACCATACAGGTAAAGGCATACCGGCAATAGTAACAAGACACTATAACAGCAAAACAACAAGCAACAGTAAAGACACTATAATAGTGTAAAATAAGACACCATAACAGGTAACAAGACACTACACAGGTAAATAAAACAAGTAAGTAAACAGGTAACAAGGCACCATAACAGGTAAATAAGATACACACAACAGGTAACATCAATAGGTAACATCACCATAAGAAAATGACACTATAATATAGTAATAAGACACCATAAATAGGTAATATCACCATAACAGGTAATATCACCATAATAGGTACAAGACAATTCATAAGACACTTATAACAGGGTCAGTGACACCATAACAGGTAACAAGACACCATAACAGGTAACAAGATAATCATAATAGGTATCAAGACACTACATAACAGGTAATAAGACACCGCAAACAGGTAACATCACCATAACAGGTAACATCACCATAACAGGTAACAAGCACCATAACAGGTAACATCACCGCAACAGGTAACAAGACACCCAGGTAACATCACCGCAACAGGTAACATCACCCAGGTAAAAGACACCATAACAGGTAACAAGACACCATAACAGGTAACAAGACACCATAACAGGTAACAGACACCATAACAGGTAACAAGACACCATAACAGGTAACAAGACACCGCAACGGTAACATCACCACAACAGGTAACAAGACACCAAGACAGGTAACAAGACACCATAACAGGTAACAAGAACCGCAACAGGTAACATCACCATAACAGGTAACAGACACCATAACAGGTAACATCACACCATAACAGGTAACAAGACACCATAACAGGTAACATCACCCGCAACAGGTAACAAGACACCATAACAGGTAACATCACCGCAACAGGTAACAAGACACCGCAACAGGTAACATCACCACAACAGGTAACAAGATACCATAGCGGTAACATGACGCCATAACAGGTAACAAGACACCATAAGAAACAAGACACCATAACAGGTAACAACACACCATAACAGGTAACAAGGCACGATAACAGGTAATAAGACACCGCAACAGGTAACAAGACACACATAACGGTAACAAGACACCATAACAGGTAACAAGACACCATAACAGGTAACAAGACACCACAACAGGTAATAAGACACCATAACAGGTAATAAAACACACCATAACAGGTAACATCACCGCAACGGGTAACAAGACACCACAACAGGTAACAAGACACCATAACAGGTAACAAGACACCGCAACAGGTAACAAGACACCATAACAGGTAACAAGACACCATAACAGGTAACAACAGACACACCACAACAGGTAACAAGACACCAAGACAGGTAACAAGACACCGCAACAGGTAACAAGACACCATAACAGGTAACATCACCATAACAGGTAACAAGACACCGCAACAGGTAACAAGACACCATAACAGGTAACAACACCGCAACAGGTAACAAGACACCTAACGGTAACAAGACACCATAACAGGTAACATGACACCATAACAGGTAACATCACCATAACAGGTAACATCACCAACAGGCAACATCACCGCAACAGGTAACAAGACACCATAACAGGTAACAAGACACCATAACAGGTAAAATGACACCGCAACGGTAACATCACCGCAACAGGTAACAAGACACCATAACAGGTAACATCACCGCAACAGGTAACAAGACACCGCAACAGGTAACAAGACACCATAACAGGTAACATCACCACAACAGGTAACAAGACACCGCAACAGGTAACATCACCGCAACAGGTAACAAGACACAACAGGTAACATCACCGCAACAAGTAACAAGGCACCGCAACAGGTAACAAGAACACCATAACAGGTAACATCACCACCAACAGGTAACAAGACACCATAACAGGTAACAAGACACCGCAACAGGTAACAAGACACCATAACAGGTAACAAGACACCATAACAGGTAACAAGACACCATAACAGGTAACAACACACCATGACAGTTAACAACACACCATAACAGGTAACAAGACACAACAGGTAACAAGACACCGCAACAGGTAACAACACACCATGACAGTTAACAACACACCATAACAGGTAACAAGACACCATAACTTCAGCTACAACAGGTAACATTACCATAACTTCACCATAATCAACTCATAACATAGACCGTTCTTCATTTTGTGTCAGTTTAATAAGAGTAATTATGAGCAGGTAACATTGTGAGCTTAATTAAGGCAGGTAATAATGTTAACTTGTTCGTTAGGCTGTATTAATCTCTCCCCGCTGCTGCAGTTAACTTGTTATATTATGTTAATATTAAATGTTGGATGTGCAGTTGATTTCTTTCCTCCCAGTTAACCTGACCTGACCTGACCTGACCTGACCTGACCTGACCTTGGCTGACCTGACCTAACCTAACCTAATCTTCCTTAAAATAACCACAGTTGTCTTCTGATCTACCACAGTGGCAGACACGACAGGACACAGAGCTCTACCAGTCATTGTCTACATACACGGTGAGAGCTTTGAGTGGGGCGCTGCGAACCCTTACGATGGGTCAGTTTTGGCTGCGTACGGCGAGGTTATTGTAATCACCCTTAACTACCGCCTTGGCCCTTTAGGTGAGAGAGAGAGAGAGAGAGAGATAACAAACATTACAGATTTATAATGTCATTGTAAACATTTCAGTATTAATTTAACGTTACCTCTATATTCACACCAATATTTGCTGAACTAAACATTTTAGGTCTAATTTTGACACTTGGGGTCTTGAAGTTCCCTTGGTAAACATTACAGTGTATGTGTTTATATAAATATCCACGGCGTGTCAATGTTTTCAATGATGTTTAATCTAATTATTATTGATTTTCAGGGATCCAGTTTTAAAAGTTTATAATGTTACAATAAACATTATAGTGTTGCAGATATATTATGCTAAACATTACAGGATTATACAGAATGTTGTTACAAGCATTAACGTGTCAGGACTGTACTATATAATTTATACATTATACGTGTGTGTGTATCACTGTAAACATTGGTGTTGTTTCATGGTTCCTATACTATAAACATTGGTGTTGTTTCATGGTTCCGATTTATAAACATTGGTGTTGTTTCATGGTTCCGATACTATAAACATTGGTGTTGTTTCATGGTTCTGATACTATAAACATTGGTGTTGTTTCATGGTTCCGATACTATAAACATTGGTGTTGTTTCATGGTTCCGATACTATAAACATTGGTGTTATTACAGGGTTCCTCAACACGAATGCAGACCCCAGCGGACGAGGCCATGTGATGAACCACGGCCTCATGGACCAGATCGCCGCCTTATACTGGATACAGGAGAACATCGGGGCGTTTGGTGGCGACCCGGGCAGTGTGACCTTACTGGGACACGGTACTGGGGCCGCCTGTATACACTTCCTCATGGCTTCTGCAGCAGTCAAGGCCGGGCTGTTCCACCGTGCTGTGCTCATGTCAGGATCGGCATTAAGTCCTTGGGCCACTGTAGGAACCCCGACTCATTATGCCCTACAGTTCGGACGTGCTCTTAACTGCACTGTAGCGAACCTGCCCGCGGGCATAAGTCTCCACGACTCTGACTTCACGCCATCTATCGAGGAGTTGGATCAGATGGTGAATTGCCTCAAGGATAAGCCCCTAGAGGAGCTTCAGGCTGTACACATCGCCGCACCTCAGTTCCTCTATGCCTTCGGGCCAAGTGTTGACGGCATCGTAATCAAGAACGACTACCGCAGGGAGCTGAGAAAGAGAGCAGACGAGACGACCCGAGAGTACGACCTCCTCTTCGGTGTCCTTCCTCGTGATTCCTTCAACGTCCTCAGTAACGCCGACGTAGAGAACGGCTTCGACCTGGACCACCGCGACCGTATATTTCGAACACTCGTCCGTAATACGTACGACTACCACCTAAATGAGGTATACATCTCCGTAGTGAACGAGTACACGGACTGGGAACAAGCGACTCCTCACCCCACAGCTACGAGAGATGCCACCCTAGACGCTCTGACAGACGCTCGCTACGTGGCCCCCATCATAAACACAGCCAACAACCTGCGCATGGGCGACAAAAACCAATTCTTCTACGTGTTCGACCACACTGCCAGGCACTCTGAGGGCCCTTACGTGAGTGCCAACCCCGGGCAGTAGTGACAGAGTCGGCTGAGTGATGACTGGCCGCTGGATTAACAAACACTGGTCTTATTGATCGTGTCAATGGGGTGTTTCTGTCAATGAAAACGGAATCACAGTCGATCATACCAGTGACCGATCAACTCTCGGCTCACCAGTGTCTCTCACTGTTGTCCGCGTGTGTGTGTGTGTGTGCATGAGTGTCGTGTGTGTGTGTGTGTGTGTGCATGAGTGTCGTGTGTGCGTGTGTGTGTGCATGAGTGTCGTGTGTGTGTGTGTGTGCATGAGTGTCGTGTGTATGTGCGTGTGTGCTTGTGTGCACATGAGTGTCGTGTGCGTGTGAGTCTAAACATATGCATATGTCCGTGACCATACGCGTGTGTGTGTGTGTGTGTACGTGAGTGTATGTGTTTGTATCGTGTGTGTCAGGAAGTGTACATGTTGATTATTATCAGTATTATCTCTATTATTATGCCCACCACACTACCACCCCCCACCACTACCACGCCCCACCACTACCACCCCCCTTCCCTCACCACCACTACCACCCCCACCACACTACCACCCCCCACCACCCCACACCCCCCCACCACTACCACCTCCCCCACCACACTACCACCTCACACCACCACTTCTTATGTATATGGCTGTAACGTCATGCTGCTTTCTTATGTATTGTGCTTTCTTCTTTTTAACATAATTTTATATGTTTATATGCTCTTATTTTAGCTGTATTTTGTATGCTCTTATTTTATAATTTCTTTCATTTTATATATTTTACATGATAGTTTTTATTATTTATATATGGTTGTATATCATGTAGCTCTTTATGTAGCTCTTAGCTTTTATATGCTTCTTAGCGTCTTAGCAAGCTGTTGTATATATATCATATATATATATGTACTTTCTTCTTAATTTTATATGCTCTTATTTTATCTTCTTCTTTTCTTAAATTTTACATATATATTATATATTGTCTTACTTTTAACAATAATTTTTTATATATTTCTTTATACTTACTTTCTTATTTTACATTTTACCATACTGCCTTTATATATATTTATATGGTTATTACTTATCACCATACTTTCTTCTTTTATACTACTTTCTTACTTTTGCCTTGTCTTGCTTTATATAACATCATATGCTTTCTTATACTGCTGCCATAACATCATATGTAACACTTTATATGGTTGTATATCATATATATATATGTAGCATCATATAGCTGCTTTATAATCTTATATATGCTTCCTGTGGTTGTATCTTGTGTCTTTATATGCTTCTTATATGCTTCTTATTTTGCTGCTTTTATGTCTTCTTTTTACTTATTTCTTAACATCATATACTCTTACTTTTACTTTTCTTACTTTATATATCATATATATATATATATATAACATCTTATACTGTACTTTATATAGTTGTAGCATCATATACTCTTGCTTTACTGCTTACTTTCTTCTTATATACTTCTTCCCCATACTTTACTGTAGCTATGCTTCCATATAACTTTCTGTATCATATATATATTTGTGATCACTCTATATCATTTTATATACTTTCTTATATATATTATTTCTTATTTATACTTTCCTTTATATATTATATCATATATATAGACCATATATACTTCTTATATATATATATTTTATATATTTACATATATATTGCTTACCATATATTATATGCTGACATATGTATATATTATATCATATCTTGCTTTACATATAGTTATAGCATCATATACTTTCTTGCTTTATACTTCTTAGCATCATATATATATATATATATCATATACTTTCTTACTTTACATATAGTTGTATATCATATACTTTCTTTTATATACTTCATATATATATATATTACTTTTACTTATTTTTACCTTGCTCTTACTTTGCCATCGCATCTTGCGCCACTGTACTTCATAATCGCTGTATCACCCTGCTGCTTGCTGCCGCCTGTGCTTTACGCCGCTCTTTACCATATTAGCATCACCTGCTGCCGTGCCATATGCTGTATATACTTACTTTACTTTACTTATATGTATATGCTGTTACTTTATATAGCTCTTAGCATCTTATACTTTCTGCTTCCATACTTCACCACTGCTTTACCATGCTACTTGCCATATTACTTCCTGCTGTACTTATCATATACTATTATATATATATCATACCACTGTACGCCATATATAACATCATATGCTACTTACTTTTACCATAGTTGCCGCATCATATACTTTCTGCCCCACCATACTTTCTTACCACCATGCTGCGCTTCCACCATACTTTCTTATCATATATACTTTACTTC